TCATATAAAGAAGATTACAAAAATTAATAAATACGTAAGAATTTAAATGATTCAGATTATTCATGACTATAGTAAATGAATTAAACTCGTGTTCAATTAACAATATTTTTTATTATTGGTATGGCTTGCTGCCATTGCTGCATTGAAATGAAATATGCGATGCATGCCACGCCGCAATTAGGAAAATGATAGACATTTCGAGTAAATAAGATATTTCGATGAGTATGAAAAATCTCTTTTTATGGCAAAAAAGTTAAATTTTCGCCATATTCTGCACATTCTGCATATGTGTTTATATAACATTGCATGTCAATTTGGTTTTGAATAAAACCCTTAATAATGAAAAACCAGGACTTTGATTATACGTAACAGTGAAATAAAGCGGCTGCCTAGTCAAGCATAATATTTCAGCCTAAAGCTATGATTATACATCCGTATATGTCTTATTTCGTTTAAGATATTTGAGAAATCATTCAGGCTTCCGATTGTCTTAAAACAACAATCTCATCTTGTGTGTTGACGAAGAGGCAGGATACATTACGTCTAGACCGCCTTAAATTATTTTAACATTAATAAACACCCCTATTTAGCCCCCAAAACATCCCTTTCTAGCTTAGAAGCCATCGGTTGAGTATATTTAATGAATGTGCTTATTTCTTGATTTTAGTTCGTACAATTCACAAAATCATCTTGAAAATAGATATGCAAAATGTGCAAAAAGAAACCTGTCTCTTAGGTTGTCACACTCGAACATTTTTTTCATTAGTTTCTTAAAGAAATTAATGACACAATTGCGCCTCCACTATTAGTTGTTGCACAACATTCAAGGGAAACTATTAATTAGTGCTACGATCATAAGAAGTTCGTCTGATTGGCCAACAATTTCTATTTACTTTTGCATTACCGTTACATATACGTACGTACGTACGTACGGCATTAAAGTGCGTATGCATTTTCAAAAAAGATCTTTGACTCTCATTCCTTTGAAATGTAATTTAATACGTAGTAACTTTCAAAAGCAGAAAAGTTACTACCTGTTAAGCTAGCTTTTTCAAACAGATGAGGATTAAAAGATTTTCTTAGCTATGGAATTAATAAAACTTTTTAAAGAGTACAGGAAACTGCATAAATAATGTAAACCAATAGAATTATTAGCCGATCAGACGAATTAGTCGATCTTGCCTAAGGTTGACAATAAATTTATATTATCAGATCTCTTGTCCAGGATTTGAATATTTAATATGTTGAGTCAAGATATGCATGAAGTGTAATATGATATGTAAGTCATTAAACATCCTGTAAATACGTAATCACGTAACCACTAGTTTTTACTATGTATTGGTACGAGCTATGAATGCTGAAACATGGATAAACCTATATATTTATTTTTAACTTGGCATTTTAATATTACTATACTTTTTCCTGAAACATCTTCGTAATAATGTTTATTCGATGTCATGTTTGTTGATTCATCGGTACGGCAATCGGATCTGTGTTAAATAAACTACATGTCGATTTTATTAAGTTCATGTTTTAAATAGTTTTTTCAGATCTGTTGTGTTCACTAAAAAAAACTGTTCGTATTATTATTTTAATTTTACGGATTTCATTATCATCTAAACCTTTCATTATTCTATATAGAATAAAGTAACCACAAAAAAAAAATAATAAATAAGAATAAAATAATAAATCATTAGATGAAGCCTCACCAAGCGCAGTTCCCATCAAGTGCTCCATTGACATCTACACATTCAAATAGACTTGATTCGCAGGCTTTTTACCACTCACAATCAAATAGGAATAATACATTTAGTTCATATTCTTCATTTGCTCGAAGAACTCTTGAGCAAAGGATTACAACTATTAAAAATCAAGAATCATTACCTCGTTATCAAACTTCAAATAGCATTTATTTTGACAAAACTTTTGCACGACAGGCTGTTTATTCTCGCAAATTACGATGGCTTCGTCAGGCACTTACAATTATCATGATAGGATTTATAGGATTCTATTTAATATATAACTGGTTTATACATAACAACAACTTAACAAAATACTCTTTAGTATCTTCACAAACAGTAAATATAAAAGGTCAAATTTTATTATACCGTATTCTTGGTAACGACCTTCCTCCACGTCATAAAACCGGCCAAACCTTAAAGAATTTGAAATTTATATTAGAACATGAATCTGAATTCTTAAACACAAAAAAATGGTGGATCCTTAACCGAATCGTGAATTCTGAATACGAAAATGCTATAATTAATCTCTTAAAGTTACATAATCAAAGTTACATTCGAATACCTTTTGATGAACAAGAATATTTAAAATATGATTTTCGACTCGAAGATTTTCCGGAACCCGATTTTTTTCATTCAAATGAATTTATGAATCTTTCAGAAGTTGGTAAATTAAGGACAATTGATTACACTTATCATGAAAAAAATTTATATGCCATAAATAATGTAAGTAATTTTATTTTTTTTCTTCAATTACACGAATCTAATATGAAATACATGTCTTTTTTTTTAGCCAATTTTTTGAATTTTAAATATATTCATCTTTTTAGAATGGTGGTAGGAATGCGGCTCTAGCTCATGGTAAATCTCAACACAATGCTAGTTGGATTTTACCATTCGATGGAAATTGCTTTTTAACTCCTAACGCGTTTTCTGATATTCGACTTCATTTATATAAATGGGGTGAAAAATATAAATATTTCATTGTACCGATGGCGAGATTGATAAATAACTCTCAATTGTTAAATGGATCAGATACACGGCCTATCACTCCAGAAGAACCTCAAATCATCTTTCGTTATGATTCTAATAAAACTTTTAACGAAAATATGCGTTATGGTAGAAGGTCAAAAGTGCATGTCGATTTTTTTCATACTTATTGTTAATAATCGAAATGACAAAAAAAAAAAAGTTTATAATATTTTAATTAACAATTATAATTTTATTTAGTTGGATATGTTATGGCGTTTAGGTGTCCCAACTACTAGTAGAAATTTTAACAGAACATCTGCTCCATGGGAACCTCATCATGGTCTTTACAAATTTGTTGAAAGTGACCAATATAAAACAATTGGTTGGGTTTTTCGTTTATTTTCCGGTCAAGCATCACAAGAATTGAATCAAAAAGAAGCCAGTGCATTACGTTCGTTTAATCGGTTGTTGGCAATTCAAGAATTTATAGATGGTCTAGATGAACGAATTGCTCGAAAAGTTCGTGGCTTTGATCCTTTTCGATTATTTATTTATGATGAAAAGTTACTAAATCAAGCAAGATTGAATTTTTGGTTACAAATCCCTGATGTAGTTGAAATAGTTCAAGTGTTGATCAAACGTGCTGACGAAATATTATCAGTTGCAATTAATTTATTTGAATTGGAACGTGACATTCAAGATAATGAAAATACTCTTGTACATTTCTTGAAACCAAAATCAAGTATTTACAAATTATCACATCAACCCGTTGAATCTGTTGATAAGACTAGAAATTTCCACTCCGCTGTCGATAATGACAAGATCTCTCAAAATATTAATTTTGAAGAATACTTTTCTACACCTGACTCATTTTTTGAAAATATAACGACTTTGGTTTTGGCTCATTATTTTTCAAGTGATGAGAAATATGCTAAATGGGCTGCCAATTTAATTCGAACTTTTATTCTTTCTTCTTATGCCATTGGAGATCGAGATGATTCAGATTTCATTTCATTCAATTCTGATTCTGATTCTGTTAACGTCGAAGGTTATGGTTTCCCAAATTTAAATAAGATTCCACGATCCATTCCAAAACTTTTCAATGTTGGTTCTCCATTTTTGATCAATATAACCGATGCTGATCCTAGCTTTTTTTTAGATGCGTGTAGACTTCTTTATCGTACAAATGTACTTATTCATAAAGAATATATGGACCTTCGAATGTTTGCTTCTGATTGGTTAGAGGTTCTTATAAATTCTAAAGCTGAGAGAAACTCTGATCATCGTGGTATAATCTTTGATCTTCGAGTATTATCATTGGCTGGATTTGTTGATGATTTAAGACTTTTTCTTCGAATAGTTAATCGTGTTCGGATGCGAATTGGAAAACAATTTTATGTCTCAAACGATTTGTCAACACATGAGATTAAACAAAATTATGAGATTATGTATGTTCAGAATTTACTTGATACTGGTAAAATTAAACCATCAGATTATGATGAGAACATTTTTAGATATACAACTTTAAATTTACACTACTGGTTGCTACTTATACGAGGTGTACAAAATGGGCGTTGCGGTTCAAACATATGGCAATATACGGCTAAAGATGGACAAAGGATTAGTAAAGTCGTTATGGAACATTTAAAGCTATACGCTAATAAAATGCATGATGTGTCTTTGATACATATAGCAAGGACTGCTTATATAATTAACAAACTCAAACAGTGCACATGGAAGGAACCAAAAGATGAACTTGAGTACTTCCAACATCTAGCAAATGTTGGTGACACGATGAAATTTAAGTTGGGAAATCAAATAAATGATGATGAATTAAATACAAGGATTGGGATAGGGAATGAAGCAAGACGGCGAGGTTTACCACCTTTTTGGATGCTTGGTATTTAACATAATAATTGGTAGCAATAGTCGGGAATTAATTTATGTTTCCATCCATGGTAATCTCTGGTAATCTTAAACTATTTTAGAAACTAGACTAGACATTAGACATTAGACATTTAAACGAATTTTAAAAAATTTTAATACTAATATTATAATAAGCATATAATTTCTTGTCAAAAAAACATTCATAAAGTTGTAAAAAAAATTTATTGAAATAAATATTAGATTTTCTATATATTATTAAAAGAAAAAAAAATTTTTTTTAAAAATTGCTTATCAATAATTTAGAAAACATTTTTTATGTTGGGAGCATGGTAGAATAATCTATATAGACTACATGATTGATTATTTTATGGTATATCGATATTACAATATTATTTTAATTTGGGCTGAATATAAAATCAGATAATTGATAAGATAATTGATAGAGTTCCAAACCAGATGCAAATTTGTCACCTGGGTTACCCATATAAATTGAAATTGATGAACGAGATGAAAACAGTTTGAATAATCATGACGTAGATTAGCTAGTTTTTTTTTCAATTTTTCTAGGGATTTTTATACCATCTTTGCAGGTGAAGGTCTGATTCGATATTATCGAAAAGAAATCTGAATTAGCTCGCATTTGAGATCCGGAAATAAGCTTAAAAAAATGCCATAAGTGTTGAAAAGCTATGTAATAAATTAGTAGGTTAGTGATGTCCAAAGAAGTACTAATACAAGCTAACTAATATTATAGCAAAATTACGATCAGAGCAACTTTACATAGTACATCGGTTAGCGGATTTATTAGTAAAATTCGCCAAAATTTGGTGACTTTCGGGCATAATTAATTAAGTCCGGAAGCTCTGGTTACACGAAATGGTAAAGTTTTTTGGACGTGCCTACTAGTAATTAATAAAGTGATGTAATAAAGATAGTCGATAATTAGATCTACATACAAGTCAGATTGGTTTTTGGGTTACGTTAAACTTGACCTGACCCGGTCAAATTAATCAAGCTCGGATCATCATAATTAAATTCATTGATCGGATTTAGTTAAATAATATTGATTAGTTACTAACACTAACGATAATATTATTCAATAGAATTAAACTATATCATGTAACGAATAATTTTTTGCAACACGATTAAACAAAATTGCTTTAAATTTTTATTTTTTTATTTTCTTTTTACAATCTTCTAATACAAGTAAATGTCAAGAAAAACGGTTAATAAAATATTTGCAGAATTTATTCCCTAACAGCTAATGTTGATTGCGATAATGATAATACTGTAATATGAATGAAGTAGATCATCAAATGCACGAAAATAAACAAAATAAACCAAAAGATACGATTGAAGTATTTTTAATTTAATAAACAAAATATATAATTATAAAATTCAATACTTAGAAAATTAGCGAGGATAAAGAAAATTATGAACTTATTTCTACATTTTAGAAAATTCGCAACACTGTATAAAAAAAACCTAGAATTTAACAGAGGTGATTCGTAGTATAATGAAACCTAAATCGAATTCAAAAAGAAAGGTTACTTTTTGAAGTTGAAGACTATGTCAAGGTTCCAGTTCCAAAAATTGATCGATCTAATACTGAACGAAAATTTACCCTGTAAAGTATTGGAGATTCTTCAAGAAGAATATTATAAGCTTGCTAATGGTATCTTAGATATTTGTTTTCGTGCATGTGATATAGGTCCGTTAGAATCATCTGACTATTTTAATTGATCGAAATATCATCCCAATGAGACGAAGATATTGCCAACCACGACAATTTTAGTAAAAGACGACTCCAACAAACGACGAATTCGGAAATAATGACATAGACATAACTCCAACAAACGATAATGGCCAAAAAACAACGTATTTCGCTATTAAAATAAATAACAAACTAGTTAGTAAAATAATAATAATAATAAAAATAAACAAAACTACTTATTAGCATAATCAAAAATTTTTAATCGTTAACGTAGTGGAATGCAAGTTAGTCATTGAACAGTCGTTCAATGTCCAGGCCACACCACGAGGAGGTTTGCATTTGTGGCCCGAAAGGAGTTTAAATTGGGAATAATAAAAAA